ATCACCGATTTTTACGGGAGCAGGTACGATAGTGAGGAGTGTAAATAAATCAATATTATATATGTATCTTATGACCTATCAGGAATGCAGCGGAAAACGTAGATATCCGAAGGTTATATGTAGGCTTACATTATATATAGGGTATTGTATGGGAGTGGCGACGATATTTAGAATCCGTGAACATACATTTCGTGACACTTGATATCTCTCTATATATGTATATGCCGGGACAGCTAGTATATATAAATATATATATATGTATATATATACTAGCTCTCTGTATATAAATTAATAAGGCTATAAAAAAAAATTAGGGGTTGGTGATAGAAGGGTGAAAATTTAGAATTGTATGTATTTTTAAATGACGCAATAAAAAAATATAAATACAAAAATTTGCCCGAAAAATAAAAAAATGTTAGGGGTGCACAACCGTTATCACTTAGGGGTATGAAAAATAGATAGTAGCTGATTCTCAGACCTACTGAATATGCATATAAAATTTCATAAAAATCGGTCAAGCCGTTTCAGCGGAGTATGGTAACTAACATTTTATATGTAAGATATATATGTATATATAGATCCATATTATTATAATAAATATATATATATATATATATATATATATTTTAATAATAATAATAATAATAATAACCATCATTCCATTATCATAAAAAAAACCTTTACCTCCCCAGGAGGGTCTGGATGACCAGTCATTCATTCAAAGTGTCGTATAAAGATAGCTATAGAGACTCGAAGAGACTGTGGCAATTTTTAACTGCGGTAAAGTAACTAATTATTGTAAGACCCATGATCTTGTATACCATGGGAATACTCCCATGCTATTATCAAATACCATTGCAACATAATGCAATACATGTGTTTGTAAATGATAAGAATCTTATCTACTTTGGACACATTTTATTACATTACTAGCTTTTGCCCGCGGCTTCGCTCGCGTTAATTTATCCCCTTAGGGGTGGAAATTATCAAAATCCTTTCATAGGGGATGCCTACGTTATAGTAGATTTATGCATGCAAAGTCTCAGCCTGATCGGTTTAAAATTGACAAAGACTCATACAAACTTTCATCCCTTATTTTATCCCCTTGGGGGTAGAATTTATGAAAATCCTTTCTTAACGGATGCCTACGTTATAACATCTACCTGCATGCCAAATTTCAGCCCGATCCGTCCAGTGGTTTGAGCTTTACTTCAGATGCGATCATCAGAGGGTTCGATTCCCCGCACATTACAAACATTTGTATTCACGACTATGATTGTTTGTATCGGTCTGGGTAGTTTTTATGTATGTATTTACAAGATAAGTATATATGTGTTTATATCAGTTGTCTAGTACCTATAACACAAGCTCTGCTTAGCTTGAAGCTAGATAGCGCTGTGTAAATCGTCATTGGTAATTATCATTATCATACTAGCTGTGCCCGCGGTTTCGCTCGCATTTAACCTATGTGTTATTCTGATGTTACCCATATTATTGTAAAGTTTTTTATTAAAATCCATTCAGTAGTTTTTGCGTGAAAGAGTAACAAACATCCATCTTTAATCTCCTGCTGTGTACTCCTTCTCATCTCAATCCTTCACTACTTCTGCTATTAATCTTTGGAATGAACCAATTTATCCTTAATGAGATCCTTGCATGAACACTACTCGAAATTCCTATAGCAATATTCACACAGACCACAGTCTGAATATATATGTCATGAAATCATATGTATCACTTAATTGTACAACTAAGAACCTAAAATTAAAAACCTTAAAAATATAATATTATAACTAAAATATATTATTAAAAGGAGTTCCTTTAGGCAAGGTTCCGAAGATACTGGCAGCGTTCCCTCTTTGAATGGCTAGACTAATTCTTTGTCCGAGGTAGCTGCCAGCTCTTCGGTCTTCTGTGATGTCAGCATTTAAGTTATGTAAATAAAATCATATGTATTGTATATTTATTATAGTTTAACATTATATTTAATTAGTATGATAATTCTTAAGCTTATATATTTCGCTTATTTATGTATGTAATTATATAATTTTAGAAGTATATTTGTACGTATATATTCTGTATTAAACTATTTAATACCTTTAAAAGTTCACCGTATTATCTCTGATCAACGCGACTGTTGACTGGTAGAAAATCCCATCAGGCATAAGTTCGTCATGTATACATTTTTGTGTGCAAAAGAATAAATAAATATGTGATTGTTACTAATAAATTGGATCTCTGTTATCTGAATAAAGAAAATTATCTTTGAATTCCTTCAATTGTGAGTAGCTTTGACGTGGTCTGGTGTTTTGAGTAGTCATGCTCACTAAAATATCCAGACTTGTGGCGGCGTGGTGGGCCGGATCATTGGGCTCCCTAAAATATGGTCGAGCGCAGTGATGGCTGGCTCATCCGTCATACTCGTGAACGGGTGCTGCTTGTGTGCACTGGTCTGCTCTAATCACTATGACTTATTTCCTCTTACTAATTGTTTAACCAGTTGTTGTGTATTGAATGTTTCTTTTATTTCATTATTTCATTGAATTAGTGCTAATCGGTAGTTTGTATTCACACACTTAAACTTAAATTGTAAGTAAGAATAAATTATTTCAAAGAGCAACACACAAGTTTCTTGCTTGTTCTTCTAGTGATGAGACAGCATTCCGAATGAGCGGTAGATTAAAAATAAATGTGATGACTATTCAAAAGTTCTTCAATGTAAGTTTATTTGAAGAAATGATTTTCTATTCTATTATATTCTATTCTTCAATGTGCTAAACATTTGTTACCAGATTTATTTCAGCGGATTAAGCAACTGCATGTCATAAGCTATAGATAATAGTATTCATACTTGTATCCAGTTATTTACATAGGCAATTTCGTAACCGACATTTCATAAAGGTCTCAAATTACCAGCTGATCATTAATAGATCTTTATACATCCGAAATAATTTATATTCAGTTTGTATTTGTATTAATACGTGCTTAGTTTCTGTAGCTGTCAGGGGATAGGAATTACATTAAATAGATTAATGATTTGCTTATAATGGATGAAATCGAATGGTGTACCAGTCTGAGCTAACGGTATACGGCTTGTAATTTCGATCCCCGTTTGAATTGGACGGGGGATCGATAGGAGGGGGGGGGGGGGGGTTATAAACTAGCTCTTGCCCGCGGCTACGCTCGCGTTAATTTATCCCCTTAGGAGTGGAATTTATCAAAATCGTTTCTTAGGGGATGCTTACGTCATAGTAGCTTTATGCATGCAAAGTCTCAGCCCGATCGGTTTAAAATTGACAAAGTTTCATACAAACTTTCATCCTCTATTTTATCACCTTGGGGGAAGAATTAATCAAAATCCTTTCTTAGCGGATGCCTACGTCATAACATCTACCGTCATAGCATGCCAAATTTCAGCCCGATCCGTTCAGTGGTTTGGGCTGTGCGTTGATAGATCACTATGTCAGTCACCTTTGAGTTATATATATTTAGATAAATAAATAAATGTCAGGTTAGTTAGACCATCGTGGCAAATTCACCAGGAATTTAACATTATGGTTTTTAAGGGGAACCGCGTGGAGGTCAAGCTGACATTGCTAGCAATGGGGATATAAATCCACATTACTAACAATGCCCTTTCCACCTAAAATTAATGATTTCTTTTTGTGGGTGATGATGGAATATTGCTAATGGTTTTTTATGGATGATAATGGAATGGTGCACCCGCCTGCGCTAACGGTATACGCTGGCGGGGCACCAGTGGATGATAAGATGAGCATAATGTCAGGTTAGCACATCGTGACAAATTCACAGAGAATTTATCACGATGGTGTCCAGGGGGAATCGCGTAGAGGTCATTCTGACATGGTACATTGCTAGCAATAAGATCATCAGTCCACGTTACTGACAATTCTCTTTCTCCCCTCGTCGCGGTGGTTTCCACGGAGGATCGCGTGGAGGTCGACCATCATTGAACGTCGATGGGAGACAAGTCGATATTATTTACGACTTTAGTGGTCGAACGGTTTAGCACGCCGCTTTACGTCTGATGGTCGCGGGTTCGATTCCTTGCACGGTACTAACATTTGTATTCGTGCGTATCATTGTTTGTGTCGGTCTAGGTGTTCTCTATGTATAATGTGTATGTATAAAAAAATATATATGTATTTGTATCAGTTATCTAGTACCCATAAAATAAGCTTTAGCTAGCTTAATTTGGGTCTAGATGGCGCTGTGTTAATTGTCCTGAGATTATTATTATTATTGTTAGTATCGATCTGGGTGTTTTCTATGTATAATATGTATGTATTTAAAAAAAATGTATGTCTTTGTATCAGTTATCTACTACCCTAGCTTATGTTATAGCTTTAGCTAGCTTAATTTGGGTCTAGATGACGCTGTGCTAATTGTCCTGAGATTATTATTATTATTGTTAACATTAGATGTTTTATATGTATAAATTATGAACTGGGAACAGGGAAATAGTACTGGCACTAGTAGTCGGCCCAGCACCAGTACACAGCCTAACCTATGTATTTGTTACTAACGCTGTGAACTGTCATAAGATATTATTATTATATTATTATTTCCACTGTTTCACAATATAAATATTTTGTTTTATAGTGATCACAAGGACGGGCTTATATCACCAAGTCACATGTACACACAATTGAATTTTTAAATATTGTTTACTGAACACGTATCCAATATAGTGGATTTCTGTAGTTCTATTATTACTATTAATATTTTTTTATATATATATATTATATATCTCTCTTTGATGGGGTATCATTGCTGGTAAAAATCACCAAACAATGACAGTATAAATTATGAATGATGAGGATGGATAATTTTTAAGTAAGACAAAACTTTGCGGACTATTCTACAAGTGTTTAATATTACAGCTTTTTGGAGAAGGACCAATATTATTATTATTATTATCAGTATTTACAATCTTCTCCCCCCGTCTATAAATTACTAATCTAATTTTTTTTTTTCAGGCCGGGTCCCCTTCTTCGCAGATACCGAGAACCCGGTTTACCTGCCATGGACGAGTGGCAGGGTACTACGCAGACGTGGAGACGGGCTGCCAGGTCAGTATACAATTCGTTGTTTGAATGGAAGGTTATTTTCATTTTTCAAAATTAGAAACTAGAATTGCCTCCTTTTATATAAGTCAATTAAATTAACCACGCCGTCTTAATCATTATCTAAATACTTTTAAAATGATACTAGCTGTCCCGGCAAACGTTGTTTTGCCATATAAATTAATAACGCTATAAAAAATTTTTTGGTTGTATGTATTATTTATGACACAATAAAAAAATATAAATAAAAAAAATTGCCCAATAAATAAAAAAATTATGTTAGGGATGGACAACCCTTAATCGGCTACTATCTATTTTTCATACCCCTGATAACTTAGGGTACATACACTAAAATAACATTTTTTTACAATTTTTGTCCGTCTGCCTGTTTGTTCCGTCTAATCTCTGAAATGGGTGGACCGATTTTGACTGGACTTTTATTGGCAGGTAGCTGATGTAATAAGGAGTAACTTAGGCTACCTTTATTTTAGAAAATTAAAGTTAAATTCCAGGCAGACGAAGTCGCGTGTGTAGCCAATTTACCATAAAATTATTCGTGTTAAAAATGGGATAATAGATAGCGTAAAGGTAATGTAATTCCTTCAGTAATTTTTACGCCAAACAGACAAACATCAGTTATTAAGTGAAAAAAAGTATATTCCATTAGATCAATGATTCCCAAAGTGGTCTATATCGACACCCGGGGGTCTATGACAAACTGCAAGGGTCTACAAATGGTCATCTTATTGTTTTTAACACTAAACTTTACTATAGTAGAAATTTACAAAAAATCAATACCAGGGGGCTGTTCAAGTATTACGTAAGCAGATTTATCACAATTATTTACCCCCCATCCCCCTTGTCAGCAAAAGTAAGCAAAGCTCTTACCCCCTCCCCCCATGCTTACGTAAACATTTCTCAATTAATGTATTGTTTTTTTAGCAAAGACAATGTGAGGGTTGCCATTCGTGTAAAAAATTAAATTACGACCGATGACGTAATCATCATACAGACTCCCCCACCCCCATGTCATCCAAAATAAGCAAAGAAAAGACCCCCCGCCCCCCTATAGTGCTTACGTAATACTTGAACGGCCCCCAGGTAAGAATACCTACCAAAAAATACTGCCATATTTTTCGGTTTTGGGGGGTCTACCCAAAAAAATATGACAAGGGGTCAACACTAGATGCTACCAATCACTTCAGCCACTTTTATCAGATAAGAGCCATCCTTCCATCCAGATATCTTCACATTACATTAATCCGTACATCCGTTTAGTCAACAAAAGGCATGCTACAGACAGACATTTGTCTCTTTAATATATTAATGGATATATTCTATATGTCACGGCTGACAATAAACTTATGCGCGAATGCAATACGCAAATATGTCGTGAATAACCGTATAAGGTGTTCGATGCTGCGCGCGCGCATCGCGCAAGTTCAGTTTTCGTCACATCACATATTGGTTGATGAGATTTATGTAATCATAATTTTATTATTCACAAATATTGACACTTAATATATTTTCGATGTCAATAATTTAATTTACATTTGCAATAATAATTGACATTTATAATAATAACTAGCTTTTGCCCGCGGCTTCGCTCGCGTTTATTTATCCCCTTAGGGGAGGAATTTATCAAAATCCTTTCTTAGGGGATGCCTACGTCATAGTAGCTATATGCATGCAATATCTCAGCCCGATCGGTTTAAAATTGACAAAATTTCATACAAACTTTCATCCCCTATTTTATCCCCTTGGGGATAGAATTAATCAAAATCCTTTCTTAGCGGATGCCTACGTCATAACATCTACCTGCATGCCAATTTTCAGCCCGATCCGTCTAGTGGTTTGGGATGTGCGTTGATAGATCACTATGTCAGTCACCTTTGAGTTATATATATTTAGATTCTCAACACAAAATTAACAAATAGCAAAAAAAATTACATAATTCAAATTATTTATTTATTTATTTATTCTTTAATGCACAATATAACATGTACAAAGACGAGCTTAATTCCGTATGGCATTATCTACCAGCTAACCTTTAGGTATACAGAAAGCGTTGTGGGGCAGTTATGTTAAAAACCAATCACAAAGTTATTAATAAATATTATATAATATATATGAAATGCAAATAAATATATACATATAACAATATATGTAGTACCTGATATTATAAGAGCACAAGTCTTGCTATATGAGCTCTCAAAGCATATACAAATTGTACGGCTTAAGTGTGAAATTGAGTAAACAAAAAATATAATTAAATCTTAAGTTAGGAAAAAACGAAGTTACTTTCCGAACCTAATATATAATGTCACACTGAATAAATCAATACATATATGCTAAATATGGATAAATACAATTATAACACATTTTGGTGACTCATGAGAAAATTAAATAATTTCTTTTTAAAAATGGGCTTATTGTAGGTAATTGTGCACTATTATAAAATAAATGTAGGCTTAATGCACAATACAGGCAGTCTCAACTAACAACTGGTCCTTCATTCACGTCTTCCCAATGTACATAGAAAAATACGAAGCATAGCGCAGTCGGTTGTTGTTGTTTTAAAATTCGTCCAACAACAGGCGAAGAGCATTGCCCATACTGCCTAGTATGGCACAGTCGGAATAATAACATAAAATTAAATGCCTATATTTGTTTTTATTTATAAGATAGTAACGCAAAAACAGCGACAACAGTGTTTTAGCAAAATATCTATCTTTAATTATGTTTTATTAATTTCGATTTTACGTACTTCTGTTTAATCCAAAACCAAATAAAAAATAATGTATTAATGACAACAGATGTCATGGTTGTTAATAGCTGTTTAAAATGAAACACGATATCAATTTTTGATGACGCAACTTGTAAATATTGGCTGTACATGGAGCACGTCTTTGCATTTAAAAAATTAAACCAAGATGGCGTTTCGCGCTCTTTTACGATTTATTGTCGCCGATAAAAAACATGTTGCGTAATAACCGTATGGGTATTGAGGATGGTCATTTTATAAAATGAGTACTTAGGGACTGTATAATGATTCAAGTTGAGATTTTAAATGGTAAATCGGCTCATTTTTCTGATAATGTCATTACAACATGAGCACGCACAATATTGAATTGAAAGGCTAATAAAAAGGCTTTTACGAACGGTAGGGGAAAAAATTCAAATTATAATGTACAAAATTTGACGTTCATAAGCGCCTAATTAGTCCTACATGAATAAATGATTTTTGAATTTGAATTTTATATCACTATGGTGGCAAACAAGCATACGGCCTATCTGATGGTAAGGCGTCCATAGCCTACTATTTACCTACCTGGAAAGCCTATGGACGCCTAAAACACCAGGGTATTACGTGCGCGTTACCACCCCTCAAGAAACCTTTATATACCCTTTTTGAAAAACCCTCGGCAGGTAGTTATTTTTTTTGTGGATGTAAATAGATTGATGCACCCGCCTGCGCTAACGGTTTACGCTGGCGGTGCACCAGTGGAAGATGACAGAATGAGCATGAAGTCAGATCAGTTACCCCATCGTGACATGGTATATTATTAGTAATGGGGTCATTAGTCCACGTTACCAACAATCCCCTTTCCCCTGGCAGGTAGTTTATTCCACAATCTAGTTGTACGCGGGATGAAGCTCCTCTGAAACTGCACTGTCTGAGACCACTTAGGTTCTGAGCACTTAGGTGAAATGGACCATGAGCATTCACCATGATATCATCATCATCTGCTTCTTCCTTATCCCATTTATTTGGGTCGTAATATTTTTCTCTTCCATTCATCCCTTTTTGCAGACATCTCGTCATTTTCTCCCTTTCCTGCCATATCATCTTTCACACAGTCCATCTATCTTTTTCAGCTTCCTCTGCCCTCATATCTATATTCATATGTAACACCTAACAACCATGAACAGTCAGAGGTATTGTCAACAGTCGACATCATTCACCATGATGACAATAGAAACATAGTAAAAATGATCTGTATTCAAATAAACTTAATATAAGCACTTATGAATAGTCACATTTTTTAGTCTACCACTCAATCGGAACGCAGACTCATCACAAGAAGAATGAGCAAGAAACTTGTGTGTAGCTCTTTTGAATAAATGTTGTTTTAAATAGTTTTATATACCTCTGTGTTAGCGTATGATATAGGGGGCTGTATTTATAACCAGGTTTTGTTGTATAAAAGTAGTATATTCAAGTAAAAGTAAGCTGCAAACATATAAAGTTATGGGGCTGTTCAAGTATTACGTAAGCAGATTTATCACAATTATTTACCCCCCATCCCCCGTTGTCAGCAAAAGTAAGCAAAGCTCTTACCCCCTTCACCCATGCTTACGTAAACATCTCTCAATTAATGTATTGTTTTTTTAGCAAAGACAATGTGAGGGTTGCCATTCGTGTAAAAAAGTAAATTACGACCGATGACGTAATCATCATACAGACTCCCCCACCCCCATGTCATCCAAAATAAGCAAAGAAAAGACCCCCCCGCCCCCTATAGTGCTTACGTAATACTTGAACGGCCCCTATGTAGTATAAAATAATTAGCAATTAGAAGTACAACAGTTTATCGTTATGTCTGCAGAAGAAGCCCTTTTGTAGTTAGATTTCCCGCGCAAACATAATGCGCCACAGATTCACAAATGTTGCGGTGTCATCCTACTGCATCTGCGCAGTATGACGAGTCATGGCAGTATGCGATATTATTACTATGAGTATTAAAACACTGACTACTCCAGCTCGGTAGTTAGTCATAAAGGTATACTAAATATTTTTTTTAATCTAACACAACTATTTTAATAATCAGATCAAGGGCTACAGAAAATGCGTTCGACCTTTTCTAGTTTTATAAATTTAGATGTAATAATTCGTGACCGTTTCAAATTCTTTATACATCAAATAGTATAGTAAAAAAACATACAATGCCTACTGTATTTGTAAACAAACAGACGTAAATAATTTATTATGCTGTATATTATTT